AATCTGACTCTTACGAGCATGACCTAGTGAGGAAAAAGCCGTCAAACTGTCAAGTCACTAGAATGCTAAGATACGAGCAAAAGTCGAACCTGGCACGGTACAGTATCTCTTCCGCATCACGGAGCGGCTGCCTTATCCATTAGGCTGCGTTTATACTTTGCGGCAGCGTAGCGTAGCGCTTCCAGCGTACGCCAGCGGCAGTGCCGGGGAGAGGATGCATATCGATCTAGCGTTCCCAGCGTCACCAGCGTCACGCTAGCGTACGCTAGCGTTTCTCCAGCGTTTCACCAGCGTTTTGCTAGCGTTTGCAGCGGCAGGGGAGTAGAGACTATGGGAGAGCTGGAGGGTACAAAACACATCGATTGCGCGTCTCTCACTCGCCCTCAGTCTCTACAATACACATCGATTCTGCGTCTCTGACGGCCACATAGTCTCTACAATACACGTCGATTCCGCGTACGGCCACATAGTCTCTACTCCCCTGCCGCTGCAAACGCTAGCAAAACGCTGGTGAAACGCTGGAGAAACGCTGGCGTACGCTAGCGTGACGCTGGTGACGCTGGGAACGCTAGATCGATATGCATCCTCTCCCCGGCACTGCCGCTGGCGTACGCTGGAAGCGCTACGCTGCCGCAAAGTATAAAAGCAGCCTTACGCTATCGCCGGCGTTTACCCTCTTAGCTCAATAGCATTCTGAACCATAGCCTTCCAACACTCACACGTTCAGCGTGATGAGACGCTTAGGCAATATCGGAAGAAAAAACCCTCCAGGCTGAAGGCTTCCTAATGGGAAAACGCAACCGCCCCGGAAGGGGATATGCGGGCTCGAGTCCATCTGTGACTCCAACTTTTGTCCATATCTCATCATTGGGATAACCTTCAGAGCGCGCACTGCGGCTTTAAGCTGCAGTTATTTTACTAAAAACTTCTGGTCACTTTTATAATTCGGAGCATGAACTGAGGTACACTACTTATCCCTGAGCCAGAGTAGGCGTGGCATTTGAAACGGAATTGGTTACTCGTGGAATATTCCAGTCTGGGACAACTGTCATCTTGTTCTGTGTTGGACAGAGACACGACAACATTGTGTCCTAGTATATGTAACTGAAAATGAGTCTTTCTGCCCGCCCAGGGAAAATTCCTAAGAATGTGCGGAAGTATTAGGTCACCCATTCAAAAATGTGGAAGGTTTCTTTTTCATATAAAACGAAGAGGAAAACAGATTGAAATGTAATATCTTGACATTTAGTTAAGTAGGTCCCTGCTTCATCAACGACCTCAGTGCCCCGAAAGTGCTCGGACATTGGTACCTTCGTTTTTTCAACAAGTGCGAGTAAATTGCTGTTAATGCCAATTTCGGCGAATGACCAAAAGTTGTAGCGTTTAGAACTAGAGCTCGGGCGGCTTCTCATCTGCATTCATACAAAATTGACGATTGTGAGTTTTGGCTCGAGGTCCAAGACCACCCATATTTCATCTAGGGCCGGGGTGCGTTTTCACAGTCGTGAATGACATCTCATGCTGAGAACATTACTGCTAGAGGCATAGAATCGGTACTGCGTTCGTGCTTCTACAAGAAAATTAGGTACCCATGCGCACACCCTCTTGACCATCCTCAGTTTATCGGACATAACTCGGGCAGCAGTTGCAGCAGGGATGTCAGTCTCGCGGGAAGCTCGACCAGGGTCCAGCCTCTGTGATCAGACATTCAGCGCTTGACTTCATTCACCATTTTTTCTTGTGTAGGGACCATCCACGAATGTCCGAAGCAAATCCACCATGATGCTGAACCAAATACTGGTCCTGCACAAGTCGAACTGAAGCAGCGCACCTTCCTCTTGTTATGCCCGATTCAAAAATCCGGCGCTGATTTTGAACACTCGAGCTTCTTTTAAAATCTCTACACTTTCTTCTGCGCGCTGACTACCATGTTTCCACTTATAGTAATAACTACTAGCTCACAAACTATATAGAAGGCTACACATATTACACCCGCGCTTTCCTGCTATTGCTCTATATGTATCTACATTTTTGAATGGGATGACCTGATAATTATGTAAAAGCATCTTCGAAGGCCCTTGCGAGATCCAGACTGTGAAACGCCAAGTTTAGTTTTCAATGCCCGTTCCGTTCCATTTAACGTTTGAGAAATACACCAAAAACGTTGGAGGAATGCAATTTTTGAAGTTTCCAGCTTCATTCCCGGTACTTAAAGACACATTGTGCGCTCAAAACACATTGAGGGGCGTATGAACTATCAAGCCCCCAGCTGTCGATGTTGTGTCCCCCGCCCAAACATGCCCAGGAATGGAGATACAGGACCGTGAAACACGCTAATTCCTCCATGCTCCGCCTTATACCTTTTTGCGGCGCAGATTCCCGTCCTTCATAACATCCGTCGTAAGCGCGCGTGTCGCCTGCGGCTAATTGGCACTTTGCCATCCTTAATTGCGCTCTCAAATACGAGTAAAACGCAATTTCCTGATGCGGATAACATTGGAGGTGCTACAAAATAAGAACAGAAGATGATGACGAGGGCCAGAACTCAAGAGCAACTCGGCTGCATCTGCAGTATCCATCAGACCGCGCATTCCCACAAAACATGAGAATAAAACAGCCTCAAAATCCAGTCGTTGTGTCTAATGCATTTCTTGGCTTACGCGTCCGAATTAGCGCCGATGCGTGGAAATTTACAGCGTTTAACCTAATTTGCCTTTCTTGATTTTAATTTTGTTTATTACATCATCGATCCGTTGTGCTTCATTTCTAGCCTGTGTCATCTTCATCTCCTTGTACATGGATTTTGAAGCATGAGCAACACCTAAAATTTTATTCGCATCAGGAAATTGCGTTTTACTTGTATTCGAAAGCGCAATTAAAGGACTTGGCAAGGTGTTATGAAGGACGGGAATCTGCGCCGCAAAAAGGCATTGGGCGGAGCATGGACGAACTAGCGTGTTTCACGGTCCTGTATCTCCATTCCTGCGCATGTTTGAACGGGGAAACCGCTATGCTTCGACAGCTGGGGGGCTGCTAGTCACATACACCCTCAATGTGTGTGAGCGTACTATGTGTCTTTAACGTGTGCGGCAGTAGTGCTGTTTGTGAACATGACCAAGATTTGAAAGGTTGGACTGACGATGGAGCCACCAGTACTAATGGCGAAGACGGTACCTGTTCCGGAGTGTTGTCCGGACAAACTATGTTGACGGCAAGCGGGATCACTAGAACTATGACGCACAGTAAAAACGAGGTCACCGCCATCACAACGTGGACGTGTTGTCGTGCTACCTTAAAGTGGTATGAATGTATACGGAGAGCTGTATAGTATGCACCTCCAATCTGACAAATTAACAACTAGAATTGACCTTAACAATTGAATATTTCGGTTCTACACTACATATACCTACCATCTGAGCGCATTTTATAGTGCCAACTGCATTAATACCGCTAGACACTATGGCAACAGTATAGGCAGTTTGAGCCAGACTGGGAGACGTTATCTGGAACAGTGCAGAATGCCTAGAAAAAATAAAAAGTATCGTGGAAGA